GAGACGCTTCATTTCAGCCATTATGAGTAGTGGTTAAGATCGTGGGACACGTGCTAGCTGGTTATGGATGATAGGGCGGTTGCAAATGATAGCCCAATACTTCCTAGGAAATAGGGGCGTGATGATTACCTTTTGGATTTTTACACATCTTGATGAGACCTATGAAGCGGCATGGTCATGATGACTACGACGTCACAGCAATAACGGTGCAATAGTGTCAAAAAAGCTTCAAAAAATGTTTTTTTCTCTCTTTATAGTCGAAAATGACATTTTTAGGGGGCAATTTGTTGGTTGGGATTTCGACACTCATTAATGTTGGAAGTAAGTTAGGAGATTCAAAGTTATATTCTGAAGAAAAGCATGCTGGAGTTTGAAGTATTATTTTGAGAAAGAATGTTGTTTTTAACAAAGGAGTATTTAGGAATCTAGTCGAAGAGATTTATGTATAGAGGACGTTATGGTCTAGAACTTAGAAATATTTTTTCCTAGATTGGAGTTCAAAGATGTTTACTTGAAGAAGCAGTTCGACAAGTGTATTTTAAATGAGGATAATAACTACCTTTTGGCCTTATCCATTTTCAAAATCACATGGAGAGTTTTGAAGCAACGAAATGCATGCAGATTGAAGATGTGGTGCTTCCTGGAAAATTGACCGTTAGATGATGGTTATTTTCAATTTAGTATAAATAGGACACTTAGCATTCAGAATATGGGTGTTCAACAATTGTACAAAAACTCTAAACTTTACTCCCAGTACCTGCGTGTGAGAAAAGAGTGCTTTCGAGAGAAAATGTGCGTTTGAATACCACTTCTTGTAATAAAATTCATTTAAATTCCATTCATTTACCTTTACTTGCAATTTATTTAAAGTCAGTTTCAACATTTATTACTTGTCATTTATCTTCAAGCAACTTACCTTTTGTAATCTACATTTCCTTTCTTACTTAAAAGAAATCACAACGTTCTCTTAACAACTTTGGAGAATATTTGAAGAATATTGTATAAATGTTCATAATCAATAAAATCAAAAATTAAATAACAACACATGTCCTAGGGGCTAGGATCAATCTAGTCGATTTTGTAAGTGAGCAAAGATTTAGTAATTTTGGAGGACTAGCGGTTGCTTACCATTTTCGATGGTAAACACATGACAAATGTTTCCATCATATTTTCTTTCATCTGCATACCATCTAATATTCTTTGTGTCATTCGCATTAACAAAAAATCTTTTTAACCTTGAAATTATTGGCAAGTATCATAACACTTTACCAGGAAGATGCTTCTTACTAACACTGTCATTGCCATCACCATTGGTTTTCTTCAACTTGTAACGCGACTCACCATATTCTAGACATTGATCAAAATTTTAATACTCTTTCCCGTATAATATGCAATCATTAGGGAATGCATGTATTTTTACATACTTCAAATCCATTGGACACAATATCTTCTTGGCCTCATAACAATGATCCGACAAATTGTTATCTTTTGTTAGCATTTGTTTCAACAAATCAAGTAATTCTATGAAACTTTTATCCGACCATCCACCTTTTGCCTTCAGATTAAACAATTTTAACAATGCATATAATCGTGTAAAATTGGTGCACCCCATATATGAAGGCACATCTTTGTCGATACATAAAGTATCATAAACATGGGCTTTCATATAAGATGATTCTCCAATATCATAAATCATATCTTCTAGTCGATCATCCATATCATCATCATCTATTTGTGATATCACATTTTGATGATTATCCATTCTTCATGTCACGTACATGCTGCATAATTTTGACATATTTCATCACAATATAGGTGGTGTAATATTTCTTTCTTTGACTGTTTTCTGATATTACCGCAAACAACACAAGGAAAATAAAACATACTATTATTGTCAGGAACATTTTTCGGAGAATTCAAGGAATCCAAGAACTCATTTCTCATACACCGGACCTAATCTATCAACTTTCATCCAACTACGATCCATAACAAATTCTGAAGTTTATATTAAAAGAATAATGTGAATGACACACTAATGCTACACATACAACATGCTAATGTAATTATATGCATATGCATATCCAACACTAAAACCTAAAGCACATTCACAAAATCTAAATAAAACATGAACATGGCATCATGAATAATACACATGACAATGTCATTACGCACAACATCCTAGCGAAGAATATAAATATTTAGAAGTGTCAGAGAGAGAGAGAGAGAATGGTAAATAACCCTAGCAAAGAACATAAACATTCAAAAGTGTCAGAGAGAGAGAGGGGGAGAGAGAATGGTAACGTATCATAATTTGAAGCGGATGATAATTTCATTTCCAGAAATGAATGAAGATGGTGAAGATTTTGCTATCGCTGTCGTCTCGTTTGCTATGGTACCCTTGTGTGTTATGAACGAAAATAAAGTACTTGTTATGTTTTAATTTTGTGAGAACTAATTTCAAAATGGTTGCAAGCTTCAACCGTGGTGAAAAATGGAACATATAACCACAAAAGTGTAGTTGTTATTCTTCCAGTTTTTAAATAACAATAAATGTGAAAGGACACGCACTTATTTTTATTGGAAAAAAAAAAGGAAAAATGTTGATGCTGGGAATTCAAAGCTTGTCATCCAAATTCTATGACCATGGTTGTTTTTAGTAACCTATCGTACCTCGAAAAATACAATCCTCGCGAAGGACTCGGAAAAAGTTGTTCGAACAGAGTCGCCACCGAATTTTAATTTATTCCAATGAAGAAATAGGAAACTATCAAGAAAACCTTTTTTTTTTTAATGGAAAATGGTCACCGCAACCATACATGGGTTTTGGAGTCGGTTACGTAAGGGGAAGGTATTAAAACTCACTCACATCCGTTGTACTCAACGGGAACCTCTTAGTCTAATTAGTGATTTTGAGTGTCAACTACGCTTATTTGTCTTCTTTGAATAATAAAAGGAAAAAATTTTAGTAAAGGTTTTAACTAGGGTTTAAGGGAAAATGGTTGATTTTATTATTAGGGTGCTCGCTAAGGATTAGAGTCCTTGTGCCTACATATTCCCTTGTGCGATGGGAACGTCATAGCAATCGTAGTTTATACTACGGTTTGTAGATTTTTGTTTTTTATCAACACCAATTATTCGAACACGAGAAAGATATCTCACACCCAATTAATTGAAAGAGAAAAGTGAAAGATTTCACTCCCTTCTTACGTCTTTTATTGAAATATTATTAAAGTATAATTATGTGTTTTAAGTGAACAGTTGCTTGAACACGAGAAATAAATCTCGCATTCAATCAGCTGGGGAGAAATTTTGAAGACTCAAAACCCCTTCCTTTACTTTTAATAAAAGGTTTTGGTATAATGAGGTGTATTGAATTTGTTTGAGAAAAAATTTAGAGATACACATCACACTAAAGTCTATGACAATCGGAACGAGCATTTCATACAAATGATCCTTTCGTCTCACGTAAGAAATATCCTAAAAGGAGGTCAGAAATACTCCCGTTCATCTTTTCCTATGTACTTAAGGGTCATGGCCCGCAACTCGTATCATATTTAGTTAAAATATTTTTGTATTTTTGTGAGGAAAAGATTTTAGTTTTAACAGGAAATCTAACCAAATGCTAAGGACCTAAGGTTAAGATTAAAGGGAAACTAACCTAATGTTGTCATGTGAACGATTGATCTTAGAGTCTAATCTTGATTCAATCAATCAGGTACAATTAAATCAAGAATTCTTAATGAAATATTAGTAATCCAAAATCATTAAGTGCACATATCAGGATCATTTGACAGTCATTTAAGATTTTTATATGAATTTGCAAAACAACAATCAAAGCTAACATTAAAAATAATTAAAATTAATCAATTAAAATTGTAGCTAATAAGTCAAAATATTAATTATAATTCTAACTAATCAATTAGAATTTTATTTATTCAACTAGAATTTTTATTAATTAATCAAAATTCTAATTAAATAGAATTTCGATTAATCAATTAGAATTTTAATCAATTAAAATTTCAAAGTCACATGGTTTAAACAAAATTCGCATTTAATCAAAACTACTCTAACAAATTAATTATAAATTCCTATTTGAAAACTTATAAAAAAAAAAGGTAAAAACTAACTCAAAATTAAAGAAAAAAAAAGGTGCAAGATTAGGTTGGAAATGTAAAGAGAAAAAAAAAAGAAGAGATGGGTTTATGTCTCACAGCCCATTGAACTTCATAGATTAAAATAGAATTTTTTTAGAAGAGAACAATATTGGGCCAGGCTAATAAGCCCACCCAATCTCCCCATGAGAGGAACAAGTGGGAGCTTCCAACAAACCCCATTCACACTCGTTTGCAGCTTCTCTACCCTTTCTCTCTCGTTTCTTCCTCTCAACTGCGTTCACACAAGATTCATGGCTGGAAAAGGATAGAATCCACTGCGCCATGGCCTATCGGCTGGCAACGGCGGTGCCCCTTTACGCACTCGTCTCTCTCTCTATTAATCTCCCTCACACGGTTTATTTCAATTTCGAAGCGGCTTCACAATCAAATTCAAAATCAACGCGTTTCTAGCTACGAAAAGGAACCAAATTGGAATAGAGAAATACCTGAAGATAGAATGAAGATATGATTCAAAAATCGTTACAACTTTCCTTCTCGTTCCCGCGTGTGGTAGTGCTCTGGAGGTGTATTCAATTCGTGTGATTTGCGGTACTGTATATGTGCTCTGCTTCCTTGTGTATGTGATGCAATTCCTCTTCTTTACTCCTTCAATTTGTGTGAGTATGTGACGCTGTTACGCCTGTTGGTGATGATGCTTCTTGTGTTCTCGCCATCGTGATGTGTTTTTTTTCTCGTATGTATTGTTGTGTATTGATCCTTCTGATGATTTTTTTTTGTTCTGCTATTCCTCCCTTACACAGTAAGTCACCATTGTTGTTGTCCTAGTAATTAGTAGGAGAGGTCCTTCAATCCCTCCGGTCCTTGAAATCAAGAATACAACTCTGAATGCGGAAGCACTCTCTGTTTTCCTTCCTAACCTGTTGTCGTCGTCGTCGGTTTTTCTCCCAATTCATTCCCCACGACCTATACGATCCGCCGTTCTCTCCCTCTCCGAAACTCCAAAAAATAAACGGAGATGGTTCAGCGAATCTGCCTCTCAAATCGGATCTTCCATTCCACTTCAGATACTCCTATTCAGAAACCGACCCCTCTATTAAACCCATCAGCTTCCGCGAATCGCCCAAGTTCTCTCCATTCGGCCCATCCCGCCTCGACCGCAAATGGACCGGCACCTCTGCCCCGGTCAATCATCCAGTCGACCTCGACAGAATTCAAGAGGAGCGTAACAGGATTCTGGGAGCCCCGCTAGAGGACCACGAGGTCTCCCAACTGGTGGAGCGCTACCGTCACAGCGACTGCTCTAGACAAATCAATTTAGGGAAGGGTGGAGTCACTCACAACACCTTGGATGACATCCATAACCATTGGAAGAAGGCTGAAGCTGTGAGGATTAAGTGTTTGGGTGTGCCAACTCTAGACATGGACAATATCTGCTTCCATCTTGAGGACAAATCTGGTGGCAAAATCATCTACAGAAACATCAATATACTCCTCTTGTACAGAGGCCGCCATTATGACCCAGCTAAACGTCCACTCATACCGCTTATGCTCTGGAAGCCTTATGCACCAATATATCCTAAACTTGTTAACAATGTCATCCAAACCCTCACGCATCACCAAACTAAACAATTGAGAAATAAGGGATTCAACTCTCATCCTCTCATGAAACTCAGTAAGTCCACTTTACAATTTTGTGCTTTTCCTATTCAATGTCTTAGGATTGAAATTGCTGTGCTTTTCCTATTCAATGTCTTATGATTGAAATTGCTAACTTATGGTTTTCATGTTCAGCCAGAAATGGTGTTTATGTGAATGTAGTGGAGAGGGTCAGGGAAGCGTTTAAGACTGAGGAGGTTGTCAGACTGGACTGCACTCATGTTGGTACAACTGACTGCAAAAAGATTGGAGTCAAGCTAAGGGTATGCCTATTAACCCTCACCTTCTCTTTCTTTAAACTAAACTAGTTTCATGGTGTTAGAGGCTTAGACTACGCTATTTAAAGCTATTCAATACTAGCTAGCATCAGCTACAGAGAAAAATGCATTTGCATTTTCCACTTCTTCTTCCAATCAATTATCCTCTTGCCATGGCATACCAACATAATCTCTATTTCATTCATCACAATCATCATGCTGGATTAACCATACTTTCTCATCATCTCAATGGTGAAAACTTAAATTCTTGAAAACCTCCCATGAAAATGGCTTTCATTGGAAGGAACTGTCAGAATCAAATCCAAATATTTATTATTAGAGGTGAGTGTAGTCCGATTAGAAAACACAAAATCAATCACACCATGTTCTACGTTCTGATCATGTACTCAAGGTACGACTCCAAAGTGAAATGCCTGTGGTAAGAACTTGCACAATTCTGTCTGGTTCACTCCTGTAATTCTAGCCGTGTACAACTACTAATGGTTCATCTTCAATCTGAACATTCCTTGATTTTCCTCATGGGACTTATTGAGTCCTTCTGTCAATTTCGAGGACAAATACTTATGGATCATTTTCATCCTTTAATTCCGTTTTGCTCCTACACCTATACCAGATAGTTCGTTCAGCATTTTTACTCAAGGAATTATTGAATCAATTTCTTTCACTTGAATAATGTCTATAAAGCTCAATGCTCTTAATCTTTAGATTGAAAAGAAAATGTGCATGTTGTAGCTAATGTATTTAAATTTATTCCTATTATCACAGGATTTAGTGCCATGTGTCCCTATCTTGTTCAAGGATGAACAGATAATCATTTGGAGAGGAAATTTAGATCAAGAACAGTGTTCAGACCCATAATGGAGAAGGTCTAGAATTAAGAGATGTTTTCAAGATGGTGTGCTATTGACATTTTGATTCAATCTATCATATGCACGTCTCATATATACACTCAGCAGACCTTGGCAGGAGAATGTTACTCGACTATAATGCAAAGTTAGTATTCATTTTTAATTGAAATTGCTGTATCCTTGACTAATAAATTTGGTTTAGACAGAGTTTGTTAGTCATCATTTGTGGTCGTGGAATCATAATCAGGTGATCTGCAAGAAGGGGAAATTCATTGGTTTATAATTAAAATCACTCAAATCAGCTTGCTACCGATTAGGAAGGCTGTATGTCTTTTATTGTTCATTTATTTTTTGAAATGACAAATGTTAGTCTTTGTTAATTGTTACTCCCTCTTTCTTAAATTATGTGTCATTTTATTAAAAAAAATTATCTCAAATTATAAGTCACCTTATAATGCAATATTAATGACATTTTTTTTAATATATCCTCTATCAGTTATTATTATTTTTTTTCTAATTCTTTAAATTTCTCTTTCATCTGTAATAAAAAGAACAATATTGTAAAGTTATGCATAATTTCTTTTTTTCATTGATTATGTTTCTTAATTCTCGTAAAATATCCCAATTGTCTTATAATTTGGGAAGGAGGGAGTACTAAAAACACTTAAAACACTTAGACAGATTTGAGGATACTAAAAAGTCTAATTAGTCTCATAATTGATTTGTTTCAAAAGAAATGATACTCAATTATATTATCAAATTGATGTTTTAAATATGTGGTTTGTTTCGTACAAGAGTTGAATAATGATCGCAATGTTTATCAAAAACAAAAATCAATTAAATCTAACTAATTATTATTTTAAACGTAATAATCACATTATTTTTTAGTATTTGAATAAGAATTTTGGTACAAAATGACATTTAAAAAATTAGGATACAAATATGTTTATAAAAAAAAATCTCTATAAATATATTAATAAAAGTTTTAAAGAAAATTGTGTTAACTTATACTAACAAAGAAATTAAAATTACAATACATAAATAATATATTAACAAATAAGATATGAGATTTTTAAAGAAAATTAAGACACATACTTTTTTATTAAAAATGAAAGTTTTTCTATGAAAATCATAATAAAAATTTTAAAAAACAAAAAATTATGTTATAAATAAAATTAAAATAAATAAATAAAATTATATTAATGATTAAGAAAATAATAAATTTTTCTCGAAATTAAAAAATGAGAAGAAAAAAGTACCACGTGTATTATATGTATACAAATATAACGTGTACTGAAGTAAAATTTTACAAGTAGAAGCGACATTTACAAGCAGAAGCGTGACAAAATGATTTTATAAAAGATGTCTTTGAATTTGATTTCGTGTTTACTAAGATTATAAAAAGATCGGTTTGCTTGGTTGTGTTTGGAATTTGCTGATAACTCTTGATTCTTGCCAAACCATGACTGATTTTGTGTAATTCTGAGATATTGCTTTTGAACTTTGAACATTTAATCATTTTAATGTTGATGTCTGATTTAGCTTAACTCAAAGTTTGTGCAGGAAAATCGTTCCAACAACTTCAAGCCACTACCATAGCCACACCAAATAGGACAACAAACAATTCATCACTCCCTTGCAACAATCAGGAAACTGGTCGTTAGCATGGGAAGAAGCTATACTGCACAACTTACAATTTCCTGCAACCTGTTGTCCACTATCTTTAAACCATTCAATGTACAGAGCTTCAGCACACGGTGCATATCCTGCTCGTGATGAAAAGACTCAAGGTTACGGTACCACTCCTCCAAATCACTTGCAATCAGAAAAACATTCCCTGTCGTCAGCACACATACGTTTTCCTTGTCAGTATCATCCTTCAACTCGACATCAAGTCCAGGTGCAACTGCATAAATTGACACCGGAAGAGATAGTTGGAAAAGTTACATATGTTTTGTTGCTTTCTTCCAAAGGTACAAATTGTTGAACTTAATCTAAATCACTTTCAGCATCTTGAATTCCTCCAATTTGTCAAACATTTGTTGAAACTTGGACTCTAATTCATTCCTGCTGTCAAGTATTTCCTAGTACGGTTCATGATTAGAAGGTAAGGAATTGAACAGTAACTTCCAATCTTCATATACTTTATGCATCTTGTTGACTTTCAATTTTATATCTTTAAACTTTTGAACTGCTCCTCCACCACAACTCTCATTTCCATTTCTCCTGTGTTTTGTTTTGTACTGCCTTTGGCCCTGGTTGTGAATTGTTGAGATATTGCATGAATTGGTTTCAATTGTTGCATTATGGACAAATTTGCATATGGATTTGTTTGGAGACGGCTTGTGCACGACCTGAATAGCTTCAGGTAGCTTGGAGAGTTTGGATTCAAGGCTTAGCATGGAAGTTTTGGAAAGCATGAAGATTTTAGAATTAGGATTAGCTTTTCTTGTAATAAAACTTGAACACATTAAGAACCTTTGAATATTGAATGTGAAGTCCTTGTAATTTGTGAATCCAATTTGTAAATCCTTAATTGAATTTTGAATTTTGAAGCATAGAAAGGATGTTGAAACTCTTTGTATACTTTAAATTTTTTGGAATTGACTTGAACTTGTAAACCTTCAAAGTTTGAATCTTCATGAATCTTGAAATAATGACTTGAATTTGAGTTTAGTGTCTTAGAATGAGCTTGAATTGTAATAAGCTTTGAATCTTGAAGTTTTTCAAGCTTTGAATTTGGTGAATTTTTCATGATGAAATAGGAATCTCTTCTTGTAAAAAATTCGTGAATTTGAAAATGAGAAACATTGTAACTTTGAATCACAACTTGATTGAAACGTAAACTTTGTAAAAAATAATGAATGAATTTGAACTTTTGTAAAGAAAACAAGTTTTGAACTCACTTTGAGAACTTCTTGCCTAAACTTGATTCAAGATTTTTTAACCCAAACTTTACCATTTCCAAGCATGTTGCTCACAAACTAATCAACAAGAACATACAAACTCTTTCACTTAAGATCAAAATGAGAATAATGATCCAACCTCATGGGTATGAACAAAATCTCTCTTGAATTAAGCTTAATCTTTGTTGCCCGCACAGTCGAAGATAATTTGGTATAAGAGCCATGTCCCGAGAAATCCTTGGAAATAAGAATACAACTTGTAATGCAATTTTCCACGAAAATCCTAACCAATCTCCACAAGACCATGCTAAATACTAATGGAAGGAAAACTCTAATCCTCCTTAGGCTATACACCGAAGCTTCTGAGAAACCTTGAGGAAAATGACCAATAGGAAACCCTATGACCCTTTGAATCAGAATCCATTGGTCACGTTTTGAAGTACTTGATTGAGAGAATGAGTACTATCTCCACTTGAAATTAATGCACCTGCACAAGCTTGTCAGTCATAATGAGTATGCACACAAGATCATATGACCTAATTTTTAGAAGATCATGGTCAAAGACTAAATGGTCTTATAGAGAGAAAACCCATAACAGAGATCTCGTGTGTGTTGATGATGAGTGATTTTGGAGAGAAAGAGATAGAAGAAAGAAGGAGAAAGTGAGAAAATACGGTGCACTGTTAGAAGAAAGAGAGATTGAGGTTTTTGTGGTGAAAGTGTAGAATTGATAAAAGTGTTTTGGTGGGAAAAAATATTTTGAGTATCTTGGCTAATTAAATAATGACACTTGTAATTAAAAGAGAAGGTTTTTGAGATTCTTGTTAGTTACCATTTTGTCCAAAAGTGTTAATGAATTAATTTATTGAAGTGAAAGGATAAATTAATAAGAGCATTCAATTGATTTTTGAAAGATAGATGTTCTGGCCTGGGCCCCGGCTTGGCCGGGCAGGCCCAGTCCATTAATGCTTGGCAAGGTCCAATCTGGCTTGGGCTACCGTCGTCGAGCACGAAGTTCCCGACGGACATACACAGCTTTCCGTGGGCAAAACCTTCATCCTTTGTCGATCAGAACAACGTGTCCCTCACACGTTCGCCACGTGCTCCCCTCCGCGGGGACACGTCATCAACCAATTGCCCACCTTCGAAAGAGCAGGTCAAATCCACCTTCCGGAGTTCACGGAGCAGTTGAACTAGGGCGAAGACCACATTCTGGTCTTCACTACGCCACGTAAGCCCTAGCAGTCACTTGGGTTGGGCCTGACCATCCAGCCCAACTCAAATGACCGTTGGCCCAGCGCTGTGGTCTCTCTATAAATACCCTCTTCCACAAGAGGGTCAGGTATTGACTCTTTACCCCTTTTCGGTATTTGCTGCCACTCTGTCCAATCCCTTACTTTGGCATCAGAGTGTCTTGCAGGTACACCCCCCATCTCCTTCTAAACACCGGTGAACAGACAATTGTCCAGCAGAGTGTGGTCAGCCAGTGATCCCCTTCTGATCAGGTCAGATCAATAGCAGAGTATGACCAGCCAGTAATCCCCTTCTGATCAGGTCAGATCAATAGATAATAAAAGTAGATTGATTATAAAATTAATGACAATTAAATTGATTTTTTAATAATTGAGACGAGATCTGCTTTTGTATTTTATTTCATCTTTTTTATTTTCTTAATAATTGAGATGAGATATTCTTTTTTATTTTTTTAATAATTGAGATGAAATATTTTTTTGAATTTTCTTAATAATGGTATACTTAATTTATTTATTTATATTTGTTCATACTTTCGTATGGTTCTTCAAATTTCCACATGTGTGTCAAAAATTATTTCATTGTTGATAAGTTTGTTAGCGTCCAACATAGTAATTTTGCACCATCGTGTGTAACAATTGAATCTAAGCCCATATATCTCCTTATATATATCCTTGTTTGATTTGATATTTTTTTCAAAAGATATAAATAAATTTAAGGCGACAAAGTGGACAGTCTGTCCTATTTAGCTCTGTCCCGTTTAGTCCCGTCTCGTTTAAACCCGTTCAAAAGCGGAGCAGAGTAGGATAGATTAACTTAAGCGTTCGAGTTTAAAAGTCAAGTTCGTCCTGTT